AAGTTATATACATAAACGAGCATTAGATGACCAAATTAAACTATTGTGCAATTATTTGATGACAAATCGAGGTTAAATAAAAGACCTCGTTGCTGTGTCCACATTTTTTCTTCCTACAGTTGACGGCTCGAAGCGGCAGACGAGCATAGCACCTGCCAATTTAATCATCAATTCAAGAATTAGATCTTAGATGCCTTATAATCTAATGACGAAAAAGGAAAATAGAAAAGAAAACCTAATTACTTTCGGCAAATCAGCCTTTTCTGTCTGAACTTCTGAGCCAATGCCTTAAGATGTGGGGGATACTTGGCTTTAATAGACGAGTTCACTATGACACCACCCTGAAGCCTCAGAACCAAATGCAAAGTGCACCCTTCAAAATTTATCAATTAAACAAATCAGAGAAACGCAAATTGAACCTTATTTCTCCATATGGTGACTAAAACCAAAATGAATTTTATTTTTGATTTTTCATTAAAATTAAAAATTAAACCAAACCGGTCTGAATGCAGTAATCAGCGAGAGTTTGGCCATCTTCAAGCTGTTTGTCAGCGAAAATCAAACGTTGTTCATCTGGTGGGATTCCTAAACAAGAGAAGTTGGAATAGCAATACATCAAAAATTGTTACATTCAGTTGGATCATATAAAAACTGAAGAATAAGTTGAGAGATTTTACCTTCCTTGTCGTGAATCTTAGCCTTGACATCTTCGGGGGTGTGAGTAGATTCGACCTCGAGCGTTATGGTTTTGCCGGACAGAGTTTCCACAAAGATCTGCATTTTTTTCTGTTTTCGTGCAAGCTAACCAATTCGTATTGTAATTCAACTCTGTCCTAAGGCTGTATATATAGAAGGTCTTTTGGCTACGCTTGCCAAACAAGTATAAGGCGTGATGAGCAAGAATATAAGGTAACGCTTGCTTGCAACAGTTTTTATTCGTGGCCCAATACTTTTTATGATCTTTGCAGATTGAGTGACCAAATATTGGTCAGATTTGACCCAAAAAATGCCTTGAAAATTGGTTCAAACATTTGGCCCAAAGAAAGACCACTACACGGATGGGCCCGACTGTAGACAAAAAGTTCGGTGCAAATGTTTCTTTGTGTATACCTTTTTATTTTTATTTTTTTTTTTCGAACGGCAAATGAAGTGACCAATTATGTCAAACTAGTATATACCCGTGCGATGCACGGGACAAAGATATTAAATGTTTTATTTTCACAGTCTTGTCCGTTTAATTTTAAAAAATAATAGGGTTATTATATAATTTCTATCTCTTTTAATCAACGTTTAAGTCTAAAAAACAATAGGGGGTTATTATAAGTTTTTTTCACATTTTTTAACCAACGTTGTTTTTTTAGCCAGAACATTAAATATGAGCATGTTAGAGCTAGTTTGTAAAATAATTAATATATTATCTTACTAAAACATTTATACTACTAAAAATTTACTTTTAGCATATAAATTTATCTCTTGATATAAGAGAAAGTAACAGTTTTACTTATTGTTGTTCACCATTTAATATTTAATTATTATTTTATTATATAATTAAAAAAGAATACTGTTAAATAGTGTAGTAGAATTGTTATAAAATTATATGAATTATTTTTTTTTTACAATATGGATTTAATATCTTTTTATAATTTGATTATATAACATCTATACTTACATTTGACAATTAAAACAAATAAATACTTTAGTAAGTATTTAATGTATATACTAAATAGGAATATATTTGGTATAATCAAATACCAAATATAATCAAATAAATCAAAGTGTACATTTTTATTTGGTATTTGATTTTTTTATTATTAAAATCTTTTTATTATACTTACCTTTTTAAAATAAAACAAATAAATAAATCAATTAAATAAAATATTATAATACCGAAATAGTAATGCATTTAATGCAGTTGATTTTTCTGGATACTAAATGTAGTAAATAAGATCCCCTTTTATATAAGTATAGATATATACATTATTTTTGGTATATTATAAATTTTTTTAGGCATCTAAAATCTATCAATCTTTAATTTGGAATAGAAAAAAAAAAAAAAAAAAATCTGGTGCACAGATAGGTCGAATGGAGGTCGAACGACAGTATAGGAGCCCTTAGGTCGAGGAAATAGTTGAAGGTTTCAAGAGACACCGACAAGTAGAGTTATGGCCCTCGGACGACCTGGTGAAAACTCGACCTGAAGATACGATCAGTTGTGTGATCCACCAAGAGACAAGACATGCGCGCTCAACATACGCGACATTCTACCTCGATGTGGTTAGGATCAGTCGCACGGTTAGATAGCGTAACAAAGAAGACTAATGGATAAAAAGGAATATTAACAGGATAAGTACCACATATGGATAAGGTCACGCGACTTAGCAGAATTTGACAGTTATGGCAGTAGTACGAACGGGCTGTTTAGGCAGTCCGAGCAGCATTGTGCAACAAAGTAAAACTCTCAATCAAATGGAGTGAGGTATGTCTTCTAGAATATTACACTCTATATACTTTCATACTACACACCATCCTCTACATTGTACTAACTTAAGCATCGGAGCCGCTTTACGGGAAAACCCCTCCAGTGTGGGGTTTTTGCAGGTTTTGAAGGACGATCTACTGACGAGACAGCTAGATCAAGTCGAAACCGAGCCGGTTGAGGGTCGGTTCATACCAATCCGCTTGATTTTAATAAATCAAATTGTACAATCGGCTGTTTGCTTATCTGGTTTTTGTCCCATGGAAAGCTGGCCAAGATTAATTAGCCACATTGATTATATAAGCTTCAAACTTGCGTGGACTGTGGACCATCAATATAATTATGCTAAGGGAAATTGTAGTTGAATAGCGTTTTCAAGTCTGACATTCATTTAAGAGGATCACATCTACTACAAAAATGGGGTTAATTAATTTGAGGTAATGACTATTAATGTCCTACTAGATCGTAGAATCGGACTGGTCATGAAATTGCATGTACTGCTAGGACCCTTGGTTAATTAATGAACAGTTTATAGATTATATATATCATGTTGAAGTAATTAATTAACGGTACAATTATGCAAATGCGATATTTAGAAAAATAAGTTTGTGCGGATGAAAATTTTATTTGCTTTATAAGAAAAAAATATTAATTGTCCAATGATTATTTTATTCATTTTGTATGAACAATAGATTTTATAAAGGAACACATATTTTCATTCAAACAAATGTAAAAAATATTCAAATAGCCACACAGTTGAATTTAGTGGAAGGACTACACACAGAGACGGATCTAGCAAATGGAATGAGGTGGGGCCAAATTTTTATAGTAATTGAAAAGGCGATAAAACAAAATGTCACAAATAAGACAAAAAAATAACATTATACATACATTCTAATTTTTTTATATAATTCAAGATGAAATCTTATACAATATCTTTAATATTTTGTAAATTTCAGTATTATTATCCATTCTGATTACTGGAAATGTATTATTATGAAAACAAAAATATTCATCTAACCAATGAAAACACATTAAGTTGTATATATGCCAAGATCTCATGATTTTTCTCAATATTAATTTGTACTCGACATGAGTAGAAGAGAGATGATATTTCTCAATATGTTGGAGCAGAGAATTTATTACAGTCCTATTTCTTAGTTAATTTCGTAGTTGACATGAATTTTTATTGGCAACGATTCTCAACATAACAATTATTATAGTAGCATGCGATGTTCTGATAGATTTATACAAAGACACAACAGATAAATAAAACATTGTAATAAAAAAATTTTAATATGAGAGAACAAGAAAAAAGAAAGACTAATTATAAACAACTTTATTTACAAATTACTTTTGTAAAACTACACAGTTTATATTTACTATTTTGGGATTATATATTATAAAAATTAAAAATCTAAATTCCAGGTGGGGCCTATGCGCCACCAGGGCTAAAAATTATACTAACACACGCACAATACATCAAACGATATAACTCCCACAAATGAAGAATAACGACTCAGAGACTAATAGTCACACATCAACACAAACTAACAATCCAAACAAACACAAACAAAACAAACATCCCGGCATGTTTTGCGGGTCCATGAAGGTCACTCCAGAAGTAAAACTCGTCTAGTTATCACTATATTCCCGGTCAGAGGAAAATTGGAGATCATAGTTGATGCTAATTATATGATGTATTATATGAGTTGAAGTATTAAAAAGCATGAGAGAAAAGAGGGATGGGTGAGGCTTCATAATTGCTTGGGCCTTGACTAACCACAAACCAGAAAGACTTTAATTTCCCTTTTAACCCCACCACTTTGGATTCACTTACAAAAAGTTTTCCATGTTCACACCCTATAACTATAAGATATCACATGGATACAAGTATATGCATATATATAGTAGTTACCCAAGAGTTATCTCCAATTCCTAAATTTGTTCTCTCACTCACTGTCCTCCACAAGCACGTTTTCTAAAATCTGGGCACATAAAATAAAATTAAAAGTTAAAAACCCCTCCCCAGAAGAAAATCCATCCATCCATCCATCCATCTATCCTTCACAATACAACACAAGATGATGAGGTCCTTATTGATTTTGGGGGCACTAGTTTTGTTTGGTGTTGCAAGATGTGATATTGAGAAGGACAAGGAGAGATGTGCAAACCAATTGGTTGGGGCAGCCACATGCCTTCCGTATGTGAGTGGTGAAGCGAATGCGCCCCCAATGGATTGTTGCACAGGATTCAACGGGATTGTGCGGGACAGCCCCGAGTGCATATGCTTGCTGGTCAAGGACAAGGACGACCCCAGCCTAGGTCTCAAGATCAATGTCACTCGTGCTCTCGGCCTACCCGTCAGGTGTCACGCGCCCACCAATCTCACCGTCGGGGACTGCCCAGGTCACTTCTTAATTACATGGCTCCAATTAGTATTATTAATGATAATGAATATTTTAAAATTGATCTGGTATTGTGAGTGAAAATATTAAATTTAATAATTTATATACTATAAATAGTAACATTTCCAATATTCATAATACATGGAGAAATTTACGAAAATTTTTACAAGTCGCGTAGATCGGTTTTTTATATTATATATTTATTATCATACTATAAGAGATTTATGAATACAAATACAAATACGAATATTTTATAGAAGATATTTTCAGGGAAATATATATTTTTTAAGAAAAAAGTATCTTGGCGGGGCCCGTGCACATGCTTGTAATTTGTAAACAATGCATGTGCTTTGTTGTTTTGTTGTTGGGGTATACAAGTTAAGTTCTTCTTTGATCCGATATGTTCAGTTGGGGATAACCGGGTCTTATCGCACAGTTTTTATATATGGAACCAATATTGCTTCATAGTCGTTATATATAAGTGAGAACTACGTATGAATATGATATAGCACTCATGATAGCTCGTTAGATCGGCTGGGATGATTAGTTTGAGTGTAGCCGGTCCAAGGTAGCTTAAACTCGATATCAACGTTTGACCAGCTCGTTAAGAAACTAGTTTAGGCAGCTCGAGGTACATGTGAACCTGATAAGAACACTTGGAGGTCGCGAGGATAAAGGTCGTGGTTAGAGCCCGTGGCAGGTAGGTTGCGAGGTCGTTCGTATGATCTAATGACCTAAGTGGCATATAGTAAGAGGGACATAATCCTTCAAAAATGTAAAGTATGTCTTGTTAAGGAGTCTGAGATTTTAGAGACGTAATAAACTAGGAAAATAGATACGTCTGGATTTCTTTCCTAACGAGGATTCTACTTGGGCAACAAGACACTCTGGTATATAAAGGGTGAACACGTTGCATACAGTTTACATATTTTCACGAGCGAGTACTAACTTGAGCGTAAGAGGTTTTTCGACTAGGACCCCTCCCTGGCGTATCGCAGGTCACCGGAGCTCAAAGGCAGAAGACAGTTCGTGTTAGCACCGGTTCAATCCGGTTTGTAGGCAATTTGCGTATCAACTTACCAATCCCAAAATAATTAAGACTAAATTGTAAAATTTAGTCAATATCTTTTACGCGATGGCAATAACAACAACCATCTTTACGAATTTGCCATAATAGTAAACAACTTTTAAAATTTTGGGATTATTACCAAAATTCGATCAAACTTGACGAAATTGTGTTGGAATGTGCACACTCGGCTGATGTGGACTCCACGTGGATGCAAGTGTGTTGGCCAAGCAGAGTGTGGAGTCCACATCAGTCGGGTGTGCAAGTTCTAACACAATTCCGTCGAGTTTGGCCGAATTTGAGTAATACTCCTAAATTTAAAAATTGTTGGGTATTATTGTTAATTCGTAAAGAATGTAGCTAGTATCTATTTGTCACCGTCTAAAAGATGTTGGCTATATTTTACAATTTAGTCAATAATTAATCGTACTTTTTTTAACTAATTAAAGAATCTAATAATTTTTACTTTGACTTACATAAAAAATAAATTTACTTCATTATTGAGTCATTGCTGACTCCATACAAAAATTGTTTCTCTCCATTTGTTATCTACTTCCAAATTTAGTTAATTAAAGTGATAAGTGAATTGGATTTTTCTCTTTTTGCTTTCCATACAGCTATGATCTTCTCCATTTTCGAACATTTTTTAATTTTGATTAGACAAGAATTCCATACTTCCCACATCAGTTTTATAAACTAATACGAATTCAATATCTTACACATATGTAACCTTTTTTTTATTATATTTTTAACCGATCAGTTAATTTTGGGTAATTGGTGCAGCTCTCCTCCATCTGCCACCCAACTCACCAGATGCTAAAGTTTTTCAGGATATTGCAAACGCTACAAATAGCACTGCTGCTGCTGCACCTGCTAGAGCTGGTAACAACTTCCACAAAATGTGCATATTAATACTAATTTCAAGCAAACCTATTTATTTAATTGTAACTTTTTTCTCAATTCCTTTTTATATATGATAGAATAACTAATTGATGTTTGAAATTGAAGGGATGGGTCCATCACGGTTGCCAGCTGGGAGGACGGCAACAGCCCCAAGGTCACCGACAACGACTAATAATGAGTCGAGCAATGGAGGACATTTTGGTTTTGGGGCTCACTTCTTGCTGGCTATGGCTGCAATTCACATCTTCTTCTGATTCTTAGATGCTTGCATTTACTTCTATTTTTGTTAATGCTATATATGTTTGGACCTAAGATCTTAATGGGGCGGAAAAATTAATCACTTACGCCATAAAATATTAGGATTTAACTTCTGAATTTGATAAAAGGAAAAGGTTTGTTTTTAACTAAATAAGCTCAAGAGCCAATCCTAGTATAGGTATAGCTAGGTTGTTTTCATATAAATGTGAGTGCATTTGTAAGCTGCAGCCATGTGTGATGAGACTATTTAAATTGCCTTTATATCCCTATTGTTTTGTGATTGAGAACAAGGAAATGAGAAGATTAAATAAAAGTATCATTCATAATTTGTTGATTGGCACACAAATATTAGATTCTCGAGAAGCAGTAATGCTAAGGAGCCAACTGTTGCCTCCGTTATGGAGCCAACAGCCAATAGGACAGCTCCATGTGGGGATGTCCCACATGGCCAATGTGGGACAGCACCACATGGAGCTGTCCAATTGGCTGTTGGCTCCATAACAGAACCAACATTTGGCTCCTTAACATTATTGTCTCGAGAAGATATGAAACAAGATCAGAATCCGTCCCTTTGATATGACATTAAAAGTTATCATTCACTTTGTATGTGAAAAATGGATGTAAAATAAAAATTATTGAAAGAACATTAATTGAATATGTTATGTACATATATATATTTTAAATAAAGAAGTTATCAAGTCTTTGTTTAAAGATATGGGTATTCAATTTAAAAACAAAAAAAGAAAAATAGCATAAATATTTAAATAGAAGAATGAGAAATATAATATTATAGTACAAAAAATATTTAGTTAATATGGAAAAATATATTTGTACCTTAATGAGTTTAAAACAATTAACTCTTTCAATTTTAGTATATAAAAAAAGTGGGAAAATTTTCAGCAAAAATTAGAATGTTAAATATTTATTATATGTATAGATAACTTTTCATTTTTTTCCTTTTTATTTATAATCAAATCTGTTTTATATTTTGAACTAACTTATCAACTTATCTGTTAAATGTTAATATTCATATCATTTATAATTGCCAATCACCAACGGTAAACTTTCAACACTTTATCAATCGTCAATCCACTCAACTTCGTGTCCAATGTAAGCTGACATGGATGATGGATATAGCAAATACTTGCACAGTTGCATATTGACTGTTTTAATGTCATTCACAATGTTTCATCCTGAAATTCCTTCTTTGACGAACACATTAGTAGTAAAATGAACAGTCCTAGAACAATACAACACACCAAATTTACAGAATCAAAAAGCCAGTAAGGCACCTGGACAGCTGAAATTCTATCTACCAGACTACCACCATGTTAACTACTGTACAACCCATCGACACTCAACCGCAGTTCAGAAAACAATATCCATGCAAAAGAAAATTCAAAAAAGGTGACGAATAGAAATTTTCGACTGCAAAGACTTGCCAACATCACCGCATCCCGTCCCATAACATATACACCACAACACACCACAGCTAAACTGATAGGAGTAAAGGATCAGAGAATCAGATAATTAAAAAAAAGGGGAATGAATAGACAACTTTATTATAAATGAAAGGGAGAACAATGATCAGAAGTATAAAACTTCCCAGCAAGATAACTTGCCCAATAGCCTAGCTATTAAGATTATTTCTTCCTGATGTCTCCCTCTCACTTCTAACTCCCTTAAATAAGATTATTGCTATTATTCATATAAGGTAATAGATAATAATTATAGGGTAAGATAACTAATTGATAGCTTTCCATTCTCTACAGGAATCTATCTAAATCCCCTAATTCATGCTTCCCATATTGCATTGCTGATTTTATTCCCATATCTCATTTATTCCTTTCCAGCTTTCCCTTTCCTTGAGTAGACAACCCATTGCTTTTCAACCCTGTTTTTGGCATCTCTATCATAAACTAAACCCACATACCTTAAAATATTAACAAAGAAAGCTCCTCACTGAAAAAAAATAAAAATAAATAAATATTTACTAACCAAATATTTGCAAGGCACGAAAAACGTAGCCAGACATCGTTAGTCCCACGCACTAGTCACCGGAGAACCATAACCACCACCCGAACCACTGTTGTTATTGAATGAGCAAAAAAGTCTCTGCCGCCAAATCTTCCTCCACGCCGGCCAAAAGTGGACCGAGCAGCAAAACGAGAGAGCCAGGCTGGCATCTCCTGGTTGGCCTCTTGCATCAGGTCAGCCAATGGCCTTGCCAAAGAGGAATTGTTTTCATTGAAGAAGGCAGTGGCAAGGCCCGTTTTGCCAGCCCGGCCCGTTCGCCCAATCCGGTGCACGTAATCGTCGATATCGTTTGGAAGGTCAAAGTTGATGACGTGGCCCACATGCAGGATGTCGAGCCCACGTGCCGCCACATCAGTCGCGACCAGGATTGGGGTTTTCCCGGTTTTGAAGGATCTCAGAGCGTATACTCTCTCCTACAATTTAGAATACTACCTTTGGATTTTAAACTAAATACGGAACTGTAGTCCAAATGATGTGACAGAAATTGGTTCAATTTATCAGCCACATGCATGCTTGCAAAATTTTTCATGATGTCAGATAAAAAGATCTTATTTCATGAAACTTGTGATCTTTTTGTGTTGACAAAAATTGGATGTCTGAAAGAACAATCGCGATCATATTGGAATTAATTTCATGTTGTGAATTCGAGATGCGTCTTTTCCGAAAGTTATCAACTGTCAAACTAACTAACCTGTTGTGTCCTGTCACCATGAATGGAAGTCGCAGGAAATCCATTGATGCAAAGCCAGTGTTCGAGTGAATCAGCTCCCTTCTTTGTCTCGACAAAAACAAGCGTAAGAGCTTGCTGCAAATCAGGCCAGAAAAACAGACTAATCATTGACTGCAAAATATTAATTGGTACAACAACTTGCTCGATGTGAAAAGCATTTAGGAAACCATAAGAAACCACCAAAATATGCAAGCCATGTTTTCTTCTTTGACCAAGACTGCAATACAGCATATAGAAAAAAAAAAAAAAAGATGAAAAGTTACTATCTGTATCTATTCATGTCGCAAATCTTTAGTGTTCCTGGATCTAATGAAACTGCAGACACATACTATAACAAACACAGAAATTTCATGTTCTCTGTAACTTAATTTCACCACCACAAACTTACGTATAAACTCAACATTCAGATATGTGGACACTCCATCACTTGTCACAGAACAATGCATGCGTCTAACAAAGCATCTAAATTAAAGTACAGAGTATTCGGGTCATACTTTGGCCTGAACACCATTTGATCTCTGTGCATGTAGAAGGTCCATCAGGTGACTTCTTTTGTCAGTCTCAAGCACGTATTCAACCCTTTGGGCAATCAAGTCGGTGCTAGATTCAACCCTTCCAACAGCCAGAAACACGTAATTTGATAGAAAATCTGCAGCCAGCCTCTGCAGGTCACAATAAATTGGCAAAATATCACTAATCTAATAATAGAAAGAAACAAAATTGGAGAATTATCTAGCTGGCCATTTTTATTCCAAGATGAAGTCCCTTGAGAACATAATGCCTAAAATCTGGCCCATTTTGAGTTATTAAAAGGGTAATAGGAAATTTAAAACACAAGTGATTTTTAATTAAATCAGATCACTGGGGGAGATTTTCTTGTTACTAGTTTATAAAGAATAGCCGGTTACATACGACATTGGGTCCACTCAAAAGTCCATATAATTTTATCCAAGTCATTGCGGATAACAACTGACATTTAGTTGATTTGGTGATGCCCCTTGAAATAAAAACAAACCTGAATCTCCTTTGGAAATGTGGCGCTAAATAGCAATGTCTGTCGTACACCAGCCGGAGGCATGTCCATCTGTTGCACAATTCTCCTTATTTGGGGCTCGAAACCCATGTCTAACATTCTATCTGCCTCATCTAGGGCTAAATACCTGATCATTTGCAACGAGACTCTGGCTCTTTCCAACATCAACTAACCGTCCAGGAGTTGCAACAAGTATGTCCACGCCTCTTTCAAGTTCTCGAAGCTGCCAAAACAAGCAAGTATCCAAAATTACAGATGAATTCTTGAGCAGAGCAAATAATAGTGCAATGCAGCTAAATGTAGGCAGCAGCAGATATGCAACAAACTATAGACACATCAAGCACAAAGGAAGCAAAACTTAAGGTTCTGGTAAGCAGATAAAAAATCAATCATGATAAAGATTTACGTTGGATTGAACTCAAACTGAAAGTATAGATACCATTAGATGTGTCATGGTTCCTTCTCACAAGACATGTTTGGCAATCAAAAGTCCACAAAAGCAGGGTATTCCAAAATAATTTATTTAAATAACTTAATAGGAAAGGGCATAAAATTCAGCTTAAGAAATAATATTATCAAAAACTTTGTCACAACATTTATCAAAAACTTTGTCACAACATTTATTTCACGAACTCAAAATCATCACTAACAGAATCTCCAAGCAAACTGCACCATTCAACCACATCAAACAAAGAATGAACGTTATACAATCGAAGCGAGCAAGTTTTGATTCTTCAACACAAAATTGAGCTTATAAAGTGCTAGTAATATAAATAATAAATGGTCTCAAAGAACTGATGTAAATGGAGAAAGATGCTCAAATCAGCCCCACCAAGAAATCACAAGTACATGGAACAGTACCTTTTATGTAATTATTTATAACTGCAGTCTCAAGTTAATCTCAAAATTAAAGATGCACATATAAAAATGACAGGTAAGAGACTTCTTGGTCAAACTGATTTAGAGATGTGGGTTTTCCAAAAGGCCTAATGCAAGACAGCAAACCAGAAGTAAAAAATGAGACCTGCATATTGATAGGAGCACCACCATAAGCAACAACCACCTTGACACCAGTTTGATACGCAAACTTCCTCGCTTCTTCATGGATCTGGGTGACAATATCCATTGGTGAATTTATAGTAGTGGGAGAGAGAGAGAGATACAAGAAAAAAATGGATAGATCAGTACAACTTAGGCTATGTTTGGTATGTTTGGTAGACAAATAAGTTAGCTTATAAGCTTACTGTACTTAAATAAGTTTCGTTTGGTATGACGAGCTTTTTCAAAAAGCTCGAGCTTATCTCATAAGCTTCTTTTGGTAGCTTTTCGAATAAGCTAGTTGAAATTTTTATTTCAGCTAGCTTATCAACTAATTTACCAAACACTTTTATCATATAAGCTAGCTTTTCAGCCATAAGTCATAAGCTATAAGCTATAAGCTCGAAATTTACTGATAAGCTATAAGCTAGCTTATCAGCTATCAGCTAGTTTTACCAAACATAGCCTTAATATAAACTTACTTGCATCGAAAGCTCCCGTGTGGGAGAAAGAATAAGAGCAAACAGAAAAGCCGTCCGCGGCATGCGCGGTGGTCTCAGACCAGATTGACTGCTTTTCATGATTCCACTAATTATCGGGAAGCAAAATGCAGCCGTCTTTCCAGAGCCAGTCTGGGCACAGGCCATCAAGTCCCGGCCAGAAAGTGCTATCGGTATAGCATACCTCTGCACAGGGGTCGGCTTCACATACTTGCACTTCCTAATGTTTAGATTCAGAGCTTCACCCAGATCGATATCCGCAAATATATTCACCGGTGAGGGCACATCCATTCCGCTTGTCTCCACCGGAATATCCTCATATGCATTGAAATTGATTCCAGTGTTTTCCTGCTCCCCAAACGCTGGTTCTGTATCGGCATCCAATTGAAAAGGGTTAGCCTCTCTTTCCCTCTCACGACCCAACTTCCACCACTGTTATTCCAGCCACCATTTCTATCTTTCCTAGCCCCCACAGGATGAAAAACACTGCCAGCATAGGAAATTGGAGCTGATGGGGGGTCTGCTGCAGGAGGATTGTTCCTGAGATGGGGTGGGACGTACGTAGATGTTCGAGAAGCATGGAAATTTGCCCCAGAGCCGTTTTTGGTAGGGGCTTTGTCAGTTGCATCCGACCAAGAAGTTGGCATAATGGAAAAGGAACAGAAAATCCCACAACTCTTCGTCACAGTCAAATTTTCCCCACAAAATCCCAAAGTACTCGACTTTGTGTACAGGCACAGAAATTTTTCAACACTGCATATGCAAGAAAGTCCCAAAACTGTATTCATCAACAATCAAAGCTTCAGAAAAGACACTCAATCATATATTCCAGACGAGCATCAGGAAATAGGATGGGCAAAATCGCATAAGCATGAAAATCAAATTCAAATGCAAACCTCATCCCTAAGTACAACCGCACGCACACCTCTACACAAATTAACAAATGTGAAAGATACAACAGGCAAATGCAGGATAATTTTACACCAAAAGAAAATGCAGAATGAAATTATTTTCTAGAGAAAAGCCAGCACTAAATAGAATTCATTTGAAATGCTGTGGAAAAAATAGGACGCACACACATTCAAATTGAGAGAGAGAGGTAGGAGTGAAGAGGTAGATACAATAATAAAAATGGAAGGTAGAGAGGCAAAACCTAATTTTGGGTAGCGAGAGATGTGCTATCAGAGGCGCTATGAGCGTAAAATATCTTGGGCGTTTGTTGATTTTCGGCTTCCCCTCTCTGAAAAAGTGACATTTGGCCTTTTCTCTCTACAGAGTTTCAGTACATGTATTTATAGTTTGGCGCCTGCGTTTCTGCTTGATAACCGATGGAGCGTATATTTTGAGGGGCTCCATACGTTTTTCCTTTCATCTCACTCCTCTCTCTCTCTTTCATCTTTTTTCTTTCCTCATTTTTATTTTTTTTCAATTTTCTTAAATTTGATTGAAGTTTGAAATGAGATTGGCACTCATTAGTAAACATTTAGAATCAGGCAAATGATATAAAAGTGTACATATTAAAATTTGTCAAATTAAAAATATGATATACGCGTGATGTAAAATTAGCATATTGAACCTTACGTTGAATTCGCTAACTAATTTACTTGATAAAGAGTTTATTTGTTTAACTTTTTTAACTCAAAACATTGAAAAATATCAAGATAGCACATGTTGATAAGAGAGGCTTCACAGAATAACATATAAACACAAACTTTTCAAATGAGTTGCAATCATCCAGTCAAATCCACTATTACAATATGTTGTCAGGTGTCTCCTACTATAATTGTCTATATGTTATTCGCTAATAGATAAAATAACATGTGTCGTTATTCTATTACTTTACACATCACATTATTTTTAAAACCGACAACTATTAAATATACACAATATTATAAAAA